TGAAGTTGAACTTGTTAAGATCCATGCTGACAAAAATCCCTCAGACATGGGAACAAAAATTCTTCATATAGGAAAATTTAAATTGAGCTTATCTTTATTACATATTGACACAGGTTAATTTTCTTACAGGTAGTGGGCGATGATGATAAACAACCTTCCATGTGCAAATTTTGTAGCCGAAAGAAAGAGTGAGTGTTATGAGAACCAAGGTGAAGAATGTGAGAATCGTGGTTCTCCTAACTATTCTGAACTAGTGCTATTTGTGACATTTATATATTTTTTTTTATTCTTTACTTATGGTGTGTAAGTGTCACTCACTTACTGGTAGCTAAGTGGTCACTTGGATTGTGAGAATCGTGGTTCTCCTAACTATTCTGAACTAGTGCTATTTGTGACATTTCCATTTTTTTTTATTCTTTACTTATGGTGTTTAAGTGTTACTCACTTACTGGTCGCTAAGTGGTCACTTGGATTGTAGTAGTTTGAATAATTTGTGATCCTTGGATGAGATGGACGGTTGAGATTGATTCTTGGAGGAGATATTTTCGTTTTCTTGCTTCTTTGAGATACTAAACTTTTTCCAGACTAGACTTTTGGTTCTCTCCTTCTCATTTTGTTCTCAAAATCTATCTTCTTTTTCTCTGGGTGATTAAGGCATCTTTCTCTAAGTTAACTGGCCAAATCTGTGGCCCTTCTTGGGAGATCTCTTTCGATCGATGACCAAACAGATTCCTCACTGAGCATTTTTTGGATCTCTCTCTTTTGGACGGCAGATTGGCAAGTGTGGAAGTGGCTGTTCCTGAGCCTATTGTTTCCAACCAAACAAAGGGAAATAGAGCTCGATTTTTGTACTCATTAGTTTCTATGTTTTTCATATGCTTACACTGTTTAGTTTATGCTATGAGTTGTATAATGAACTGAGTGAGATTTTCCCAACATCAATAAACAGTTCTATATTATTGTCCACGTCAAAAATCGCATAATAGTTTTACGTGGACTATATGAAATTTGTACCGCTTGAGGAGACTTGCAAAATAGGACCATGTTAGTGAGTTCAACCATCGGAGAAAGGGGTAGTGACTAATTTAACTCTACAATAAAGT